GATATCTCGCAAATCTGATTATCGATCGGTAATCAATATCGTTGCAATTTGGCGTGGCGCCAGGACGCGATACGCGTCCCTTTTCCGCTCGAAGGACGCGCGGGCTACGCTGAGCCAACCAGGGGGATGATTGAAAGTGGTGCACGTGCGACGCTGCTAATCGCGTTTTGAGCGACTTCAAACGGACAATCCTGGCATTCGTGGCTTTCCGATAAATATTTTCGCAAGTCCGATTCCACCGCGACTCCGTTAACAGAGGAACTAAATGGTCGAACAATTCGGACAATTGAAATTTCGAGTCACCCCCTTTCGTGCAAACGGGGATCCACGATTAATGCGATTCGGATTCGGCGTAAATTCGAGTAAAATTGATTAGATGGTAGGATACAGAAGTTTTGAAACTTTATTGAAATGTAATATTTGAGAAAGGGATAGGTTTTGTTTGTACTGTAGGTTCAGACGTTTCATTGCAATTTTAATACTTTGGTTTAGACTTGTGAAATTTTCGCACTTTGATGTTTTCGAATTTTGAAAATATATTTTATCGCCAGTAATTTTTTTATAAATATATACGAACGTAGTTCTAAGTGTTTACAAAGTAGTTATAAATTTCAAATGAAATGTTTATCTATTCACAAATGTGGAACACCGTCCATCTTGACTCATAGCGTCACCCTACTAACCGTTCGACATACATGAATTGATGCATCGTAAAAGTGGCACACGCCCAAAACATCCATCATATTTCCGTGTTAACGACGTTAGTGTCCGTGTCGCGTGCATCATGCAAAAAAAAGGTGATATCACCCCTAGAATTTTTACGATGCCGTAGAGAACACTGCTGGTGAGTGGATGGTTGTGAAACTAAAGAGAACAAGAAAATGTAATCTTTAAATTTAAGACATGCCAGTGTATTTTTTGAAGTTAGTTGTAACATATTTTTAATATGTGAAAATGTTGATATGTGGTAATATTTAAATTTCATATGCGAAAATGTTGATACCAGCGGAAAGCACCGTAGACAAGTTACTCGTAGCAAAAAACGGATATCACGAGTTACAGTGGCGTTATACAACATCCAATAAGTCACTCGACAGCCTTAGCAGCTCACGTGTTTACGCACACGATGTTCCCGGACGCAGTATATCACTCGCTAAGCACTCACGCGACCACTCACCGACTCACGCGTTATCTGTAGCTTTTCATTCTGGCTCGTCCAGCAACCCGAGCGATATATCAGCCGCTCGCGGGCCGATATTCAGCCCCCGGTCGCTCGTTTACTTCATAACTCATTCGTTCGTTCAACGGTTCCCCTCTTGCGGGGTCCACCAGGCCCCCTGGCTTTGCGGATATCTCGCAAATCTGATTATCGATCGGTAATCAATATCGTTGCAATTTGGCGTGGCGCCAGGACGCGATACGCGTCCCTTTTCCGCTCGAAGGACGCGCGGGCTACGCTGAGCCAACCAGGGGGATGATTGAAAGTGGTGCACGTGCGACGCTGCTAATCGCGTTTTGAGCGACTTCAAACGGACAATCCTGGCATTCGTGGCTTTCCGATAAATATTTTCGCAAGTCCGATTCCACCGCGACTCCGTTAACAGAGGAACTAAATGGTCGAACAATTCGGACAATTGAAATTTCGAGTCACCCCCTTTCGTGCAAACGGGGATCCACGATTAATGCGATTCGGATTCGGCGTAAATTCGAGTAAAATTGATTAGATGGTAGGATACAGAAGTTTTGAAACTTTATTGAAATGTAATATTTGAGAAAGGGATAGGTTTTGTTTGTACTGTAGGTTCAGACGTTTCATTGCAATTTTAATACTTTGGTTTAGACTTGTGAAATTTTCGCACTTTGATGTTTTCGAATTTTGAAAATATATTTTATCGCCAGTAATTTTTTTATAAATATATACGAACGTAGTTCTAAGTGTTTACAAAGTAGTTATAAATTTCAAATGAAATGTTTATCTATTCACAAATGTGGAACACCGTCCATCTTGACTCATAGCGTCACCCTACTAACCGTTCGACATACATGAATTGATGCATCGTAAAAGTGGCACACGCCCAAAACATCCATCATATTTCCGTGTTAACGACGTTAGTGTCCGTGTCGCGTGCATCATGCAAAAAAAAGGTGATATCACCCCTAGAATTTTTACGATGCCGTAGAGAACACTGCTGGTGAGTGGATGGTTGTGAAACTAAAGAGAACAAGAAAATGTAATCTTTAAATTTAAGACATGCCAGTGTATTTTTTGAAGTTAGTTGTAACATATTTTTAATATGTGAAAATGTTGATATGTGGTAATATTTAAATTTCATATGCGAAAATGTTGATACGTGATAATATTTAAATTTCATATGTGAAAATGTTGATATGTGGTAATATTTAAATTTCATATTTGAAAATGTTAATATGTGGTAATATTTAAATTTCATATGTGAAAATATTGATATGTGATAATATTTAAATTTCATATGCGAAAATGTTGATATGTGATAATATTTAAATTTCATATGTGAAAATTTCATTTTTAAATCTGATACATTTTTCTGTATCTCTGCTTAAATTTCAATTGATGCTAACTCTTTGCATATAATTTAGAAATGGCAATTTCTAATAAACGTAACGTAAACATTGATGTTCCATCTAACGAAATAAAAACGTAATATCTGCATATCTACATGTCTATTTGCATATCCACATATCTACGTAATATCTGCATATCTACATATCTACGTAATATCTGCATGATATCTACATAATATCTGCATAAACGTAATAGTCTACAGTTATCGCAATATTCTTGAAAAATTATATGGAAGCAATATAGCAGAACATAGGAAGAGGGGTCAGGCAGAGTAAAAATGAAAGTCGAACGAAACAGGGGTGAAAGTAACATGAATATGCATCCGCAGCTGTTTCGTTCGGGCGTTTTACGAAAGATACTGGATCAAATCTGGAGAGGAATAAACGTATTAAGAAAGCTGGTAGTTCGTGCGACTTGATTGCCTCCTAAACGAGGAATCGATATCCGCGGCCGTGTTACGCACGGAAGAAGGAAATTAAACCTGAACTCTCGGTGTTTTCATTAAGAACGAGCTCACGAAGTCTCTGTTGAGTAAGATACGAATTAAACAGTATCGTAATTGTTTCGCGGGTAACAGTTGGGAGACGGTCTTTGATGGAAACTGCTCGGTTTCCGGAATGAATGTTAAATAGAGTTTCGCGTTTTAAAGAGCTTTAAAGATGTCGCGGGAAATTTGTGTCACCTCCTTTGAATCAAAGGACTGTAATCCAAATTAATTGGAGTCACGTTTATTTTTCCTGCAGAAGTTCTGTGCTTTGATTATGAAAATAGAGGTTGAAAATTCTTGTATAATCATTATTTAAAAACACCTATAGTATTTAAATTTTCTAGTTTGTAGAAAAACCTCGGTTTTAATTCAGAATCATTCAATTCAGCTTGCAATGCAATGGAATATAAATGATTCATTAGTACTCGTATTATCAATTGTTGCAGTTTTATAGATTTTTTGAATGGATCCTGTTTTTTGTCGTTCGGAGCACGGTTGAAACGCGTTAGAAATGTCAAGAGGAAAGATGAAAAGGAATCGGGGTGAGACCACGTTTGCAATTTCGTGAATAGGACCGCACGTGTTATAATTTCCCGGATTCATTGTTCAGGAATTAATTTCTCATTTCGCCTTTCACTGTTTGGACGGGACTTTTTATATTCGAATAGGGACGACCAAGTTTCAGTTACCTCGTGATAATGAATCTGTCTGGATGTAGAAAATAAGTTTAGTCATTACTCTCAATGTAAATTAATGCACTTTTCTTTAGTCTACAATTCATCACCATAAATAAATATGTTCTATTAAAACAATTTATTGTAAACAAAAAATTGATAGTGCGAATTTACAATAGAATACAACAAATTGAAGTTCAAAATTATAAATGTTAATTGAACTTAATAATTGCAATAGACAGACAATATATAACTTCAAAGTTGACATGACTGTCAGAACAGCAATTACAGAATTATCGTCATAATAGAAAAAATTAATAAACTTTAATCGACGTGTTCCTAATTAAATCATACAATAGTACAGAATCAGGGGTGTATAATATCAGAATTGCCCTGCAGAGTTCTCATTAAAAATCCATATCGTATTAAGTCCCGACAAGACTAGCACAAGAGATCAGATAGGGTTCCAGATAATAATTTTTTGCCGACATTCGAAAAGTTTTCCTCCGTATCCGAGAAGGCGGTTCCTGTCAGAAGCAGCTTCTGGCGTGGTTTATGGTGTGCCTCTTGCACTTACCGCCCTAGCAAGGAGGAGCGTGGAAGGATTTCGGTAGAGCCCTCCGGCCGAGCATAATGCTCCCATTATCTTCAGTCCTTTCCTCTGTACTACGTGCGTACGTTGGTTGACTAATGTACCGGGTGTCGCGTAATTTCGCGTCCACGATTTGCCTTAACCTAACGATGTCAGCGACGCGATCGTTACCTCGGGAAGACCGCCGGTACGAGTGGAAAAAAGGGTCATGGCGTACGCGGAAAACGAAAGAGGGTCGTGAAGAGCGTGTCAGCCGGGCAGCGGGGCTAAAAACCATTACGGTAATACTTTGCGGACCGAAGAAGTGATTTTTAAGGAGAGGGGTCCGCCATTTCACGGCAATTTCGTTCTCCCTATAAGCATTCTTGCCCGACGCTCGAGTAGTCGAACCCGGTCGGGTGTTCTTATAACGAAACGATTATGAAAATTTCGCGTCGTTTCGGGCATTTCATTTTCCTAGAATCCGCCCGGGTATACATTCCGCCCGGAAGTTTACGAGCTTTCGTCTCCTCCGCCTGCGCGTGTTCCGTGAAACTCGAACGACGCTTATCCCGACGAAAGATTAATGAACTCCTTAAGCCCGTACGAGCGGTTTGTTCTTCCTTGACGCTGTTTAAATTACGCGTCTGCTCGTGGTTGTTGCAGATCCTTCGGCGTCGGGGTCATCGTGCGAGGATGACGAGGACGATCAGCACCCGGACATCAGGAAACGCAAGAACAGCCTGTACGCGACTTCCTCGAACCGAGCACCCTCGCTAGACAGAGAAAAAGGGTTGAGTTTGGCCGATGCTGCAGTGGTGGATTGCGTAGCCCTGGTACATCTCACGGATCAATCACCCACCGATTCGAACCAACCGGTCCGTCATCCGTCACCCTATTACTACGGCGACTTGTTCAAGGTACCTGAACAGCTGAGCAAGCCGCAGCCCAACAAGTACAGGAAGAGCGTCAGCCTCGACGTACCGGGTGAACGATCGAGAACACCCGGTATACCGAAGAGGAATTCGGTGGCAGGTGATGGGGGAAGCTATTCGTCTCAGCCACAGCTACAGCCACAGCAGCAACAGCAACAACAGCAGCAGCAGCAACAGCAGGCGTTCCAACCGCAACAACATTATCAAAGTCAGGATCTAGTGAGCCCCACGTCGGGGAGCGAGCATGCTGTCCCAGCCAGAAACGAGATCCTCTCGTCGTGCATCATCACCGAGTGGGATCACACCCTCATGCCTCCTCATAGATTGTTAAGCCATGACCTGCCGACCACGGTTTGTACTTGCGTCGCATCAGCTGAAGAGGAAGAGGATGAGCTAGATCAACGGCAGCCGCAGCTAACGCGGCACCAGGTACGCAAGCTAAGACGTACACGAAGGATAGATCCGCAACCGATACTCGTCGAGGACGAGGACGACGTGGAGGGAGAGGACGAGGGCGAGGAAGAGGAGGAGGAGGACGTGGAGGTGGAGGAAGACGAGGAAGAGATGGCTAGACAACGTCACCTCTACGAGACGGCCTTCGACTGCAAGGTCAATAGGTCCGACGACGACCTCGACGATCTCGATCGAGTTACCAATCATCCCGTCTTGCACTCGCAGGTACTTCTCTATTTCATTTACGTTTATTTACAAATTTCAAAAAATTTCTATATTAGGAAAATTCAACAAGTGCTCATTAAAGAAAAAACAAAATTAGGCAGGATAAAATTAAAAAAACATCCTAGGTTGCTAAGCACGTCATCAAAGATAATATTCACGAATTAGCATGGATGTTCTGAACTTCACCTTGAACTATGTTTTCGTGTTTGATGTAATGGTTTCCGTGTTTTGCGCCATTTCGTGAAAGTTAGATCGCTGGCTTTTAATCAAAAGCAATTAAACTGCAATATGAGGCACAAAACGTAACTGAATTTCAGAGCACGAACCGGGGATTCCTCGTTGCCAAGCGCAAATTAGACTTTAATTGCGGTTCAGCGTGTATTCGATGATTAAGCGATAGTCTAATTATATCTTCACGTTGCATAAGTAACTTTTAATACAGCGGAAGGGTTAGAATGAAACACTAGCAACGATTCGTTTTCATAATAAACGCATTTAATGAACAATGAGTTATTTGTACGAAAATGTTAACACAATGTTCTCCAAAAATAGTAGTATATTTATGATGTTTGTCGCTATAAATTATGACCAATTTCGACTACTAAACAATTATGTTCTCTTTTAAATCTATCAGCGGACTTCGTAGTACAGTTATTTGGTATAATAATGAAGAGATTGCGTGTTGGCACAAGAGTTTATCGTCACTGATATAAGCGGCGTGATTCAAATCCTAGAAATTGAATATTTTGACGTTTTGGAGATTGGAAATTTGATACTGCAGACACATTTAAGAGTTTGGGAATTTTAGACACTAAAAATCTATATAGTGTTATGTGATAAAAATTATTACACTTGTTAAGCCGAATTAATTTCGGCATGTAAAGGGAATTCATTTGTAATATAAGAGTTTAATCTGTCGTAGATGAGAAGCAACAGCGTGATAGCAGTGAGCAGAACGAGTTCATCGACGGACACGTCGAAGCAGCAGCAGCCCCAGCAGGTCCCCTACGCTGGTCAGTCCCACAGCAGCAAAGATCGACGCAAAGTCGTACTTCTCCGCCCAAAACCAATTCCGAGCCGTCTTCAACAGCAGCAGCAGCAGCAGCAACAACAACAGCAATCAGACAATATTTCTACTCTGTCCCAGGATATCGAATCCCTCCAGATCAATTCGAGCGACGAGAAAACGGGCTCGCCGCGGTTACCCGCCAGAGGTTACACCCC